CACACAGACTGTGAGTTCCAGCGACTCGCCTTCATGGCATCGGTCTCCCTATTCGTCCGCCTCTGTTTTAATGATCTAACCGTCCTTTGAGCAAGCGCTGCCTTCCGCCTCCCTACAAAATGAGGAGTGCCAATGCGAGAAATATGTGATGCACATGCCTTCTGTGCATCCGGTGTACACGTGACCCATGATTTTCCAACCTAAGCCACCAGAATTTAAACGAGTTTTGTTCGTACCCCACAAACGAATCACAGGGATGGGCAGAACGTTTTAATCTTTTTCGATTTATCCACCATTGTTCACCCACTGCCAGTTATATGATTATGGTCCGCTGCCTCAGCATAGGAATTTTACCTAACAGCGTGACAGTTTCGAACTAAAAGTACTACCATGTTTCCTAGCACCATCATCTCTCGTGTTAGCTTTTATTAAGAAACAAAGCAAATTGATATAGGATTTTCACCTCGAACATTTGATACAGTTTGGCCGCAGTTGGCGCCGCAGTTAAATACTGTCAGCTTGTCACCCCCTCTGCGCAACATACAGTTGACAAATTGCTAGGATGAAACCACTGTACCAGAGATAGCTATGTTTTCAGGTATGCGATGTTTTCAAGTTGAGGATAGTTGTGCTTTGTTGGCAACTATTCGATTTGCCGCAAGGTTATAACACAGTTATAGCCACATGTATACCGTTTGTAACGCAGCACTTTCTAGAAGGCACGTACTTCGTTGTTAGCTGATCCTAATTAATTGCAGGATCGTGCATAAGCTTTAAGTATAAGACTGTATTAGGCATGGAGGTACAAAGCAGAATACCCACTTACACATCATCTCTGCGTAGGGTACCCGGATTGAAGTTGCATTTGTGAATCCAGACACCGCCTATCAAAACCAATTATACTAGCGATAGTAGGCACGTTTATCATTAGCTCATAGGCGAACAGGCGCCGAAGGACCGTAGTCAGTGTGCTGAGAAGAATGTGCCCGAGCAGACAAGAATACGATTTGGCATACGTCAGGGAAACAGATGGAATTTTTTCTAAATGTCTTCTAGGACGCGGTACTATAGCTTGAATAGTAAACGGACGTCGTGTTTCTTGGTACCAGAACTTCAGTTGTGTGCATTGACTGCTCTTTTTCGCAAATATTGCTTGTCTGTTTACAGCCCCACCATATACACTGTCGCCTGGGTAAAAATGAGATTCTATGAGCTAAAAGCTTGTAAATATTAAACCAAAATCTCCTTATAAATGCATAGATTAGCTTCACCGATGCAGCTCAACACGATGCTGAAGAAAGCGAGGTTCGGTGTGCAGAAGGAAGTAGTTATTCATTTCGAGCTACTGCTATTCTCTAAGTAGGCAAAATCAAATAAACCATCAGCTCAGCACTGATAAAATGATCTGACTAGTTTACGTGGGATTTATGGACACTGGTCATCTCCGCTCATTCTACGTTCTTCCAGCATTGGTGCTAAATCCTTCAGCACTTAACTCACACAATACACCAAGCATCGGCAATTCTGGAAGCTATTTCAGAGCACGCAACTCAGTTGAGAGTAATGCTGTTTCAACACTGAATCTACAAAGTATGAGAGCTCCGGTTCATGAAGCTAAATGCACCAGCTTTGCACACGCGGAGTCCATGAAAATACAGTCCTCAGATTCGAGTTTCATGAATCCAGCATATTCCGCCGACAATCTGACGATGAACGATAACCAACCCACCGCTGATGCGCATGAACATGGAGATTTATTTCGACTGGACCCGGATATTCAGGTGAATATTACAACAGATAAAGCTTCTCTATATATTTCAGTGCTGATTAGTGTTTTAAGCATTCGTGATAATATTGTACTGCCCAGTAGGACTCAGATAACTAACGAGTAACGTTCAGTCATGTGAAAATATAAACGATGGGAAAGAAAATACTTCTGTTTTATTGAATATGGTCATCTGGATAACTGAACGCCAATGCATGCTTGCATCCTAGGTCAGAACCGCCCCATCATTCTATTAACTAAGCCGAGTTACTAATGTTTCACATGAGGTGGATTGTAGAATCCATGTTTATAACAGGATGGTGGACACTCTAAACATCCCGCTTTATTTAAATATTAATCCATCTACATAACTGTACTTCAGGTTATATACAAAAGTAACGGGTCTGTCTATTTGTCCAAAATGTGCGAGCTTCAAGGTGCCACCTTTATTGAGTTATATAGTACATGTGCAGAATCCACATCGTATCGGGTTACCGGGCAAGAGCGAAACCGTTGTAAGTAACTTGAAACACTGAGTCCCCTTCAGCCCCTTCATTAAGGCAGTAAGAAGACATAGGTTGCGATATGTTAACATTTCGATTGCTCTCGTCAGTCGCTACGCAAAACACGCAGAAAACACACACAATATGTAGGGTCCACAACTAGTAACATAGATAAGCAAATAAAATTGATGCGAATGACATAATCAAGTCCAAGGCAATCTAATTGATTGCCTCATTTGTTTCTTGGCACAGAGCACGGGACACTTTAACCTTATCAGTAGTGTCTCGCCTATTGCCAACAACGTCGAGTTCCTGTTGCGCAATGGCACCTTGAATGAATGGATTGGGTTCACCTGGTGACGAGTCAGCATGAGGTGTTTGGTGATAGACGAGGCAGGGTTCCGGTTTATTCTTTGGTTCGCTCCGCCTTGGTTGGACTGCAACTGCCTTAGCCACAATGGGAAGTGTTCCGCCACCCTTTGAGCCAGCCGGCGACCAGTTTGCCTATGTAAGTGTCACCGTAATTGCAAGTGAACTGGTAGATGATGTGAGAGGCCGAACTGATTGGTGCGCTGCTCGGACAGCTGTGGAGAGGAATCCCTCGTGTAGTGTGAATAAGTCGTAATTGGGCGGTAGAGTAGGTGCGCATTAGAGCGGACCTGAGGTTGTGACCAACTTCATTTGCCACGTGATCCCCCTCGAAGGGTAAGAACAAATAAACATCCTTCTTCTCCGCAGTTTGTACGGGCAGCTTCTCCTTGGGGGGTCTGCAATGGGTCTGAATGTATTTCTTCGGATACCTATTGGCTGGCAAAGTCCCGTATAAAAACTCTTCCTCAGCCTTGAGCAATTCCGGACTGCAAATCCGCCTGAGCCTTTAGAAGAGAGTTTTTACATGGCCGCGCTTTTGTGCAACCGGATAGAAGCTGGAAAAATGCCTCGTCTATCTGCTTCATCCAGCACAAACACCTCATGCTGACTCGTCAACAGGTGAACCCAATCGATTCATTCATGGTGCTATTGCACAACAAGAACTCGACGTTGTTGGCAATAGGCGAGGCGCTACTGATAAGGTAGAAGTGTCCATACTCTGTGCCCAGAAACAATTGATGCAATCAATTAGATTGCCTTGGACCTGATTACGTCATTCCCAGCAATTTTATTTGCCTATCTATGTTACTAAGTGTGGACTCTAAATATTGTGTTTTTCTGCCTGTATTGCGTAGTGACTGACGAGAGCAATCGAAATGTTAACATATCGCAACCTATGTCTTCTTGCTGCGTTAATGACGTTGTAAATAACTTGGACCAACAAACGTGATACTGAATTGCATGAAAGGAAACTAAACAATAGAAGGACAGACAAGTTGCCTGACACTTTAGCGAACAGTAACGGCTAGCACATACTAGCCTTGCGTAAGCTCCAGTTGGTCTAACTAAACTTATTTGTAAAATTGCCGGCGATTCAAAGTGAGATAATCTCTGACAACAAAAGTGTTTTAGTGCTTCAGAATAGTCAAACTTATTCCAGCTGTTTCACTGAAGAATTATCCCTGAATATTATAACTGAGCTGATATCACCGTAACGTAGGGGATAACGTTGAGTTGTACTATATGTTTTACTTATATTACGTGAAACTCCACGATCGATTTTTTGTTGTATCTGAACCAACTCTGTAGTGAGATGCACATCATAATCTTAGGCACGCACAGGGTGGCCTACAAGTTGCAGATAGGGGTTCAACAATTATTCTAACTAGTTACCAACCAAAGGTGTCAGTATAAACTAAAGTTTGTTTTTGTCGATAAGCCAATATTGCAAAGTGGAACCTGTGGCCGTAAACCTTGGTACCCATAAGAAAGCATATAAGAATTCCCGGTGCTGCTGCATTCAGTGGTTGTACAATTAATGACTAGAACTAAGGTAGATAGCATTTGAGATGCAAAGCACCTAACTTTAATTGTTCTAACGAGTCCATACCAAAGTGCAACTGATCGCTGGACATGTATGTAATATGTATATATGTAGGTAGTTAATGTTGGTGTAGCATAAGTATTCCTCTCCACTGCTCTATCTTAAACCACAGGTTATTAGAAAGGTGGTTCAATCCGAACTTCCCACAATTTTAATAGTGCCATTCACTGGAATGATTCTGAGAAATCTCTGCGGATCAGATGTACGATGTTCACAATTAGCCTACCAGTTTTCAGAGTATATCTACAGTTTTACAAACGGTGTAACTGAGTTCCACAAGAGACTGTCAATACTCATGGTGTCACATTCTTGATGGTATTGCTATGTTGTGCTAACATTTGACCACGCCTGCTCACAGTTTATTCCAAAACATCTAGCGAGGTTGAATTATTCTGTCAGATGCTTTGGCAACCTTAGGCAACAGCGTCGAGTAGAAATTACACATTGCTATCGCTTGCCACTACCTGCAAAGTGTCAGTCACAGGTAACATTGCGTGCATATTTCCACGCAGATACTGCACCAGTGCCAGACATTTAACTTTGATAGACGTGGGTATTTTTGGTTAAATTTTACGATCCATTCAAACTGAAGCTATCTGTAAAAATTATGTGAATTAATAGACAAAGTACTCATCCAAAGAGGGTTGAATAGCTTTTAAGACCAGTGTCCTTCTAGTTAGTAGGAATCAACTATTTAAGTTGTAGTGCAATGAGCAATTTAAGAGAATCTCAATAGGTTTTGGCTAGAATTGTCCCATTTTGTTGAGAAATACACAGTCAGTTCCTAAGGTATAACGGAGCAACTTATTTTTATTTTCATTTCAGGCTTTACGTGTTGAAAACTACTCAGTCCAAGACGTCTGTAAACTAATTGCAAGTATTCCCACGATTCCGCTGAATCGAGTACGACATTATCAAGTGAATGTTTTGAAACATCAAATTGACGGGAAATGCCTGCTTACAAATGAAATAGAAACTATACAGCGGAGCTTAAAAATGGACCCCGATGATTGGCAACCATTTCTACATCTGCTGACCTACTTCAGGGATGTTCGTGATGTCTGTCCGCATGGGTTGATAGGGTCTCAGAAGCGTGAGACAAGTGGGATCGAACCCAGCTCTGCTGTCGTGTCTATGGTTTTGCGTAATAAACAAATGGAGGGAAGCAGAACACGAATTGGCAGTTCAAGTGCATCCAGTACCTACCCAATCATCCCACACGTATCGGCCGGTACAGTTGATAGTGGGAAGAGTACGGCAATGGTACGTCAGACACCTTGGTTGCTCTCTCCCGTGGTTGCAACCGGTCCCAACAACAATGACGTTAACACTGAGAGATCGACCGATTCCATCTCTCCTCTTGCAGACTCTTTATGCACTACCGAAAATCAAACCTCACTGAGTGGAATGGAGGAACCGGAGTCGCTATGGAAGCCAACAACAACTGCTGCGCTCTGTAGTGAGATGTCTTTAACCAATTCTTTCCATACTAAAATAAATAGCCGTAGAGAGTGTAAGCTGTACAGATCAGAAGACGCTGAGATATTTGCCAACGCTGACGCAGTAAAAGAACAGTATGAGGAAAGCACCCGTTTGCCGACTATATTTCAAGCTGGAAAGGGAGACTTCTTGAAAATGAGGAGCTACTGTCCGACGAGGAACGGGAAACGAACAGCCAGAAAACGGTACCCGAAGAATGGACACACGTGCAGTCACTCAACAGTAGATCTCAGAATGATCTTAAACCATAATAGGAAACCTTGGTCACATGCCACTGATTCGACTGGGATTCGGAACTATTCAGAAAAAGGAAACCGTCCAAATAAGGAGTCTTACCGCAGAGCGTCGCGCAACAGACATGTTGTTGGTCTGGAAGACGAGCTACTGAACTTCCAGCACACCCCTCCTTGGAAAGGACTAGGGGCACCAGTTGCATACCAGTTCAAGAGATCACCTTGTTCAGCTAACTCCAGACTGAGAGATCATCATCCAATAAAGAGCGGTATAACATCTGCTGTCGTTGATGATGATTCTACAGACTTAAGGCGGATGAGAAAAAGGCTCTGCCGAAGAAAAGAGCTGACAAGTAGTGATCAGAAGCAAACTAATCTCAAAGAAAGTTTTCCTTTCCCACCGCTTCTCGACGCAGAATACGATTACTTTCTTCCTAGTAACGTACACAAAATGACTTACGGTGAACACCAAGTATCAAAGGACAAGTCTGAACCTCAAATTGATCTCCCGCAATCCATCGCGCACAGACAGTTGACAAGTCTTCGGCCGCATTTGACATATGTGACTAGGTCCGAATTAGGTCACTCTTTAAACTGTCTTTATGCTTCGTCTGGTCCTAATCAAACGACCGTCGAGGCATCGCCAGAAGCACTCATGGCTGCTAGTAAAACGCAAACCCCACCAAAGATTCCACGACGGAATTTAATTGAACCTGGAGTTAGGACAACGTGTTCCAATGGCTGGATCTATTCGTCAGAGTGGAGTGGATCACGTTTTCATCCTCTTAACTCTACGACATCTGCCAATTTAGAACAAGAGTTCAGCACTAGAGTAGCATCCAAATCTTACATTCCAGAACTCTGCACCTGCAACTACTGGTATGATATTGAGCAGGTTATGGACAAAACAACAATCAGTGAACCCACTCTGCGAGGTTATTCCGGTGAAAGCAGCACTGACTCACGACATGATTCGAACTTGTATACCACACTTCACTCATCAGCAGACATGACCGAAAGTTTTTCCGAAGAGGAGCATTTCTACATTGATAATGAACGATCAAGTAGCCGACACTCACGTAGGTCACAAGACAGAGCAGGTGACTTAAAACGAGACTGATAATAATCTTGTCCTTCAAATAATTTGTACAAATGTACACTAATCCAAAACCTTTGATTCATATGCCGTTTAGGGTAGGTGAGCTAGAGTTTAATCACATGGTGTATTAACATGCTGTAGCCAGTATGAAGGTTATGTATTGTACACTTATGGTGTATGTAGTCGGGCGTGTCAATTTTGCTTACTTAACGGCCCAGTAACTCTCTAACACCCGATAACGTTACTTGTACAATTTACAAACAGCTGCTTCCAATATTTCTGAGCTTGTACCTTTCCACTTACCTGATGAAACTTACAAAATGTTTCATTAAAATCCTTTCATTTCCATGTCTAATTTTAGTTGCTTGGACAACATCCATGTTCATCGCGAAGGAACTTACCATTTCATAGATGAGTGCCAGTACACTTGGGTTTGAATTATAAAAATTGACGTTCCGGCACTCCAAATGTCGACATATATTCAGATGGTTTCTAATGGAATTACTGGGACCATGGCTCTAGTGATTACAAAGTTTAACGAACTGGTTGTAGTGTGGTCTGAGCACATGCGCATTTTATTTTCCCTGAATACTGTGGTACAACTTCAGTGCAGCGGACTTCAGTGTATCTAAATGATTTGTCTTCTCGAACTCACAGACCTTCTTAAGCAGGAGTACATGTGCGCTCCTTAAACTTGGCGTTAGAAGGAACAGTTAGTTTTTGTCATTTTAGTCAGCTGCAAAGTCGTGTTAGTCAAGAGGGAGTGTGAGAACACCGGTTAAAACTGTAGGCGAAAGGATAGTTGAATGGAACGAAGTAATTAGATTGTCGGCTGGTGACGAACCCATAAACACATTCATGGCACACGGTAGTTAAATTGCATTTGGAGGAATGGAACAATGATTTATGACGGTTAAACAAGCACAGGCTTAACATGTCCCGTAGGTTGGTAATAGAAGAAATTAAGATTCAAATATTACTTACGCATGGAGAAAGCGATAGAGTAATCGCATTAAGACGGATGACTGTGGGAGTGAGAGAGTGTGGGCAAAATCAACTGAAAGTTGTATTGGTTGATTCTCATAACAGAATGCCCACCCCACTGCACCTATTTACGTAAGTAAATGTGGGTCATTATTCCAATGTGGATAGTTAATCAGAATAAATCCAGTATGTCTTTTTAAGTAAGAAAATGTAGAACGTTCAGTTGGATATCCATTTTTTGAAAATAACTAAGGTGGAGGAACAGAACTGGATTTAGAAGGGTGTTCCATTGTTGGCAGTACCGGATGGTGAAGCAATTTCCTTAAAAATCTAGACGACTGAGCCGAGATCTCAATAGAGGTTGCAAGTCGCAACCCAACCACACAGCGTGCTTCTAAATTCAACTTGAATTACTTTCCGCTGTGCCAAGCTTTGCTCGCGGATCTCAGTAGCATAGTGTTCAGGGCGTCAGGCATGAGCTACATAGCTCTGAGTTCCACCTCAGCTCAGGCTATCTCCACCTGACGAGTCTAAATCAAGACGAAACCGCGGTCGTGGGGTGCCAGTGTTGGGAAGAGCAACACCCAAATATTTCCATCTAGACAACTGTGTTGTTGACACAGTTTCAGGCTATTATCCCTGAGATTGGTATTTGGGCTAAGTTTCAGTTGGTGGGGCATACATGAGTGGTGTCGCTCAGTATGTGGTAGACTAATATTAAGTCAGAATGTGGTAGCTGGTAGCATTCACTGAACACTCCGAATGACTTCATTAGTTGCTGATAAGAATAATTGTTATTATAAGCGGCTTGGAAAGGATATCCATAATGTTTCCATTTACACAGGTTGGTATCTGTTTAGGTAGCAGAGTAGTCTTAATCATTTCAGTAAATGACCCGTATTCAATCGGAACGCCCGATTGTATATTGAAATGTGTTACGTGGTTTCATGAGTCAGCAACGAAATGATTGACTAAATTGCTAAACTGAGCGGATCAGGTTGGGCAGTTGAATAAAGTAGCGTAGGTTCCTGGTAGAATCGCCTCACAGTTATATGAGGTGTGATTCGCAGGAGGCACAGTCTAATTACTTTTTGCCTTTAAATGCCATTGGCTACACCATTAGTTCTATCATAGTATACCGCTTTGACTCTGTGCGACCTATGGCGGCGGATCAGGCCCTTATTAGTTGCTCATGCCGTTATTGTGGTGTCTCGTTCTTTCGGAAATCAATAATACTTTAATTTATGTTACGGGCGAGTTTAACTCATGGAGTCATCGTCAAGTAGTGATGCGATCATCTTCAGGCATATAAGCTGCTATGCCAAGCCATTTGACACCTTAGTGCTCTTTAAGTATTACAACCCTTAAGCAGATAAATTATGGTATCATGACGATCCCTGCACAGTTGAAAAAGAACTCGTCAACTGAGCTGTGTAGTGGAAGAGTATTTACATATTTGGAATTACTCGAAGAACGGATAACTTTGCATGAATTAAATGATGCATACCTCGAAACGTCATCCCGCACGATATTCGTCCTGTAAGTAATCATGTATGGAAGAATCGGAAGACAAATACACACACGTGGCAGATTTATACGAATAAATATACTCAGAAAATAGAGTTAATGAATGGTGCATGCACCAGTTTAAGATGCTTTTATTGCTTCCGACGCCAGGCAAACTGGGTGTGACTGACGAATTGTATTTTTTCCGGCTGTAACTTTCTTCCCGTGCAGAAACAACTGGTAAGTTGAGTTAGATGTGCTTCGTCAATCAACGTAGCCTCACAAATGGGCTGTTGATATTGGGTTCTGTGACTTGAAATCACGAAACAATTTGCAGAATGGATAAGAGAACACACGTTTCTTTCAGGTCGTCTGCACCTAATCTGTGGACTGCGTATATCCGGAAAGTTATTGCTCTGCTGTGGTAGGACAACGTTGAACTGTGAAACACAATCCATGTTTGTAAGTGAGCCAAACTACTTCCAGGATAATCACGGTTAACTACATTGTGGTGCGAATGAGGCGGCAGGACCGCACAATCTTTATTGTAGACGAATAAATCGTTACTAGGCTACCATGCGCGGGCAGGTATAAACGAAGCTGTCATCACACAACGCACCAAACATTGCGTTTGTGCTCGTCGCGGCCTCCATGCCCCGATTGTGTCAATCTGATGGGTTTGTCGCCACTTAGCCCTTGTATCTTCGCTACCGTCCGTCGTGTTCTGACAGGACTGCATTCGTTCTGATGCACTTAACTCGCTTAATCGGCGTTGCGTTGTTTTCCTTGGCCTTATTCCTGGAAGCGCGAACAAAGGCGTATCTCACTGGAAAATCGGGCTCCTCACCACTACCGTTCTTCTGGACGTGGACCCGAGACCTTTGTCGCTCGCGAACCATTCCCGGCTTATCCGGTAGGCCTGCAGCATTTTGCATATGTTCGCTCTTAATGCCCGTGTTAGTTTCCCACTTCCTCCGTTTTCGTGGCTTTTCTGTCTCGCCCTTGATTCTTACCTTTTGCATCATATATGATAGACAACTGAAGACATAACTCGAACCCTTTGTCTCAACAGACCAAAGTAAGAGGAGTTTGGCAGGGTGAAAAGCTACACAACTCTAAGTGTCGCAATAGTCTTAACCCTGAAGCGACCAGCCTGATACGAGCACCACTCAGGATGTTCTGAAGCACCTCTTAATATATGTGCAGAAATCAGTGTAGCAACCGCTTTTACAAACGATTTGCGATCCCTATAATTCTGTCATGATCTATTCACTATTGCCTAGTTAACGGAACATATTTGACCAATTACCTAACTTTTGTTCCACTTCCAAGTTCAATATTTTTATTTAGATGCATACGCCTGTGTTTTACTTCTGTGTCGCTCGTTTGTGACCGTTAACAAACGGCACTAATACTGATTGTAGGCAACAAAACTCTTGGAAGCCTTAAGAAAACTCGTTTCCACCTGCATCAACAACAACAACAACAACAACAACAACAACAACAAAGTCCGTGCTGGAATACGGAATTAAATTGACACAATATCATATCATATGGATCGAACCAGAGCAAGAAAAGTTTCGTTTGGGAGATGGAGTAGGGTTGGGCACATGGTAGTGGGAATCAGAGCGAGGGGTTCATTGAGCAGGACGAATATATCACAGGATCGGGATCTTTCTACAACCCTGACCAAACTTCGAATGGGAGATTTCATCTTCTGGGTTTCGATGTGCTCTGGTTCACATCAACCTCCTCGATTCACCACGGAAATTTAAAGGGATTGCAGCAAATCTGTGCACACAGCAAGTGGATATTTTCCTCTTAAGTCTTACCACTGCACCAGTATACAGTGTTCATCTAACTACCCTGTGAGCACTGTCTATAAGTCCTTCCAGAATTGGTTTGGGTAGCAAATGGCTTCTTTGATAAACATGAGCCAACGGGCGTTAAAGTTTCATGAGAGCTCCTCAGCCAATGTCTACAAATGTGGTGATATGTATTATAGACCAAATAATATCATAATGATCAGAACCAACTCGAAACTTACATAGGACTGGTATTGTGAAGACCATTTTTTGCAGGAAGTTACAGCAGTGTGAAGCAACAACGCGCTGCTAGAAGTTACCTAATCAGTGTTTTCTGGGAAAAAGAATCCTTACAGATTCGTTCAGTAATATTTTTCGATTCATTTGCTAAGTGATGTTTCTTCCGCGATCTGGCGCACTCATCTTGTCGGGTTGCTTATTGTGTGCATTCAGAACAGTTCACCGCCTACTTGATTAGTGACAGGACACTTCGAACATTTATTTTGAGCTAAGTTGCGATTATCAGACCCGATGTAAAAGTAAACGAAATGAATGCAAGTGTACATAGTGGATGCATATGTTGAAGTGGACTCCCTTTTTGGTCAATAATCCATTCATCGTCGCGCATCACTACAGGTCATACATTTACGTTGTCAATAGCCCTCCAACGGTTTTATTTCTATAAATTTACAGCCAAGGTAACCAGTCTTTTGTGCTCACTAATTCAAACCAGAGGTTTACTAAGACGACGATAAGTTGCAGTTTAATTTGTTGTGCTAACTACAATATAATTGGAATTTAGAGCTTCCGAATAATGGTTCTGCTTAATCTCAGAGTGACAAGCGCGGATAAGTTATTGAAGACAGGAAAACTACAGGCTGGTCTAAAAGCAGCTTAATAAACACAATGGCCTGGTGTCGTTTTCAATTCGGAATATGAC